TGCACACTTGCAGGGGAGAGCTGGGCTAGTCTGTGCACACTTGCAGGGGAGAGCTGGGCTAGTCTGTGCACACTTGCATCTGTATCTGGACAGTTTTTTAGTTCCATGTTTTTTGTTGAGAGATGGAGGGACTAATGTTTTAATTAGGAAAAACAAATTCTTTCCCTCCAAATTCTTGGCAAATCTCCCCTTTAGCAGTGGTTTATTTATTTATTTATGTTTCACCTGCATGTTCCTTCTAAGGAAAAAGACAGAGAGAGTCCCTTTGAGATGTAGGTAAGTTGTACACTGTTATCCATCAGATATAATGCCAGCAGTTACTAAGTTCATCAAGTGATCACAGGCCTGTTTGACTCCCTCCCAAGGAAGGGACCAGAATGAAATTAGGAAGAAGCTTTGGGATGACACCGGAATGTGGAACATCTGAGAGTGGGCAGATGTTCTTCTCTGACCTTTAACCCTGGAAGCTCCACATCCTCACTTGGTATTTTAAATAGGAATCCAGGAACCAGCTTTACACTAGAGTGGGTTCTGAGACAGAAGTCATATTTTCAACATTATTTAATGTTGTACCTTATCGAGAACTATAGGATAACCTATATGTGTGTATTTGGAGCACTTACCTCTGTTTCCATGAAATGCTGAGTATATCCTATGTATTAACTGTTACGGAACTTAGACATTATTTGCTAAAGATAATTTCACAATATTGACATTTCAGACCTGTGAAAAGCGATAAAAACACTAAAATTTATGCTGCAGGAGGAAGGAGTAATTTTCCCAGCACACTAATTTTGAGTTTCTTTCCTGGTGTTTTGTCTAAAATGTATTAGTGTTTACAGAAGACAAAACATTTTTTTTTTATATCTGTGATCTCATTTCCTTCACTTAAAATGTTTTCTTCATTTTACAAGATTACTAACCATACTTTGTAGGTTGAGCTCCTTAACCTTCTTCATTGCAGGAGGGAGGAGAGATCCCAAATTCTTCAGTTCTAACTCCTGAAATTATGTATTTCACTCTTACCATCAATGCAAAATAATGGTAGCATATTTTTCTCTATTAAAATAGAGAAAAATCATATGTAGAGAATTTTCTAGTTCTCCAGATAATAACTTTCTATAGCCAGGTGTTTGCTGTGGTGTTCTCTATATTGTATTAGTTACAATTTTCTGCACATGCTGGTATATAAAAGCAAGTAGCATCTACCTTAATGGGCATAGCAGTAGCTGCATGAAGGAGATGTTTGGAAGGACATTAATTAGTTCCAACCAAGCACAGAACAGATGAAGCAGATACTGTGTGGAGGGCAGGTTGAATGATATTGGGAAAATTGTAACCACATCCAGTCCACTAAAGAGATGACAATAAATGGTGTATACAGTTCTTATTTTTTCTTATGCATGATTTTGTATATATGGCTATTTTTCTTTCCATTAAAATGATATTAAAGTATATATACTGTTTTTTATCCTACACATTTCATATAGAAGTATATTGTTAACATTTTCCCATATCAATAAATATTCTTCTATGGCTTAACTTGTTACGACTGCATTGTATTCTGTCTCCTGGGTACATTGTAATATACAAACTCATCCCCCAGTTGTTTTTCAGCAAGTTTTTTTTCTTCAAATTTAGCTCTTGGAAGCAAATGTGAAGTATTGTTTCATTGCATGAAGGTTTTTATATGTATCCCTGACTATTAGGAAAATGTAGAAATGGAATTTTCCATGAAGGGTTTATATATTCTCATAGCGCTTTGTAGACTAGCCACATTGTTCTTTATCCTCATCACTATTATAAATGCTTAAAAAAAAAAAACCAAAGTGAGAAGATAAGCAATGTGGTTGATAAAATTTCCAGTGTCCATAAAAGGTATAAATATAGGAACCCTATGTACCCATAACTCAGTCTTCCCTAGTAATAGCATCATGTAAAGCCCTGAGTTTCATTTCCAAACTAAGGAAATCCATTCTAGACACAACCCTTTGTTAGATACATGTTCCAGTTTCTCTTGAATATGAAACCTCCTTCTCTTAGCAGTGCCTGGCGGCAGAGGCCTGAATTGTCTTCCTCCACTTTTTGGGTGATGCTGAGCCTAGAACCCAGGGCTTTGTACGTGCTAGGCAAGCCCTGTACCGCGGTGTATACTCTCCGTCATTTCCTCTTTTTGTACATCATTTGTGTGTGTGTGATGTCTAAAAACTACTTAACCTCAAGGCCATTTATTTATTTAAAAAAGTGTTTATTTGTGTATGCATGTATCAGAAGTCAACGTTTCAGACAATGTCTCACTGAACCTGGAGCTCATCAGTGGGGCTCGTTTGCTGGTGAGTGAGCTCCTGGCCTTATCCTGGTTCAGACCTCCCCCCCCCCCCCCCGCAACCCCACACTAAGGTTTGACGTGAGTGCTGCAGATCCAGACTCAGTCTTCTTGCTTGTGTGGCGAGTCCTTGACTGACCAAGCCATATCCCCAGTCACTAAAGAGTTTCTTCCGCTCAGCTTTCAGGTTAGACAGTCTCATGATTTCCTCCTCATCCTAGTTGTTTAAGGTGAAATCAAAGCTCTCTTTTTCCTTTCTTGATGCATTTTGTTGGCCAGTTTTCACATGGTGAACACTGTAGCCAACACTGGGGTGGAATGAAGGGACCTGTGCTTCCCGTACCACTTCCCTTAGTTCTCACACCGGAGATGAGTTTGGTCTCTTTTCACCTAGATTCTGTGCATGGAACGGCACAGAGCCTTCTGTTTGACTCCTCATTCCAGAGTTGCATTGGAAGACTCATCCAGGTCATTGTGTGTAGCAGTGTTTCTTTCTTCTCACTACGTGCTATTCTGTTGAAAGAACATGACAATTGATTCTGTTTATAAATATTTGAGTTTCCAGGTTGAAGATATTACAGTTAGTGCTGTTAGGAACATTTCTTTCTTTCTTTTTTAAGATTTATTTATTTATTATGTATACAGAAGAGGGTGTCAGATCTCATTACAGATGGTTGTGAGCCACCATGTGGGTGCTGGGAATTGAACTCAGGACCTCTGGAAGAGCATTTGGTGCTCTTAACCTCTGAGCCATCTCTCCGGCCCATAGGAACGTTTCTTACATGTGGCTTTTAGTGAATGTATGTAGCCATTTCTAAAATGTTTTAATTATATTTTTACTGTGTGTGTGTGTGTGTGTACACACACACGTGCGTGTATGTGTAGAGGTCAGGACAGTTCTCAGGAGCTGACACTTTCCTTTGACTGTGTGGGTCCTGGGGATTAAACTCAGGTCATCAGGCTTGGCAAACCACTAGCCATCTCCCCAGCCTCTTACATAGGCATTTCTCTAGGACATTTGCTAGGCGTGGGTTCGCCAGGTCACAGGACATGTATGTGCAGAGCTCTGACACACAGTGCCCAGTGGTGTGCTGGCCTTGAGTGCAGTGCTAACGTGGGATGTCTGCCAGTCCTTCTCATTCCGTCCCAGGTTCAGACCGTTAGTGAGACGTCAGCTGACTCCCAAGGTTCTAAAACGATAAGCCAAGTGCCAGCATGTTGATTTAGGTGGCAAGCAGTTTTCTAGTTACAGCGACTTCTGCTCCTGCCTGCAGTCCATGGATTCTAGTTACCTCATGTCTTCATGTGGTACAGCTTCATTTTCATTGCATGGTGTGATGACATCACTTTCTGGTTTTAGTTTGTATTTCCATGCTGACCTTTGGTGACCACATTTTTGTCACTGAAGAGACTGAGTCATTTTGAAATGATTTAATTAGGAGTGGATGGTGGGGGCTTCTCCACCATATTCTCCAGATATGGAGAAATTAAGGTTATAGTTTTTCATCTCTAGGGAGGTAATCTATAAATCTCTACTGGCATAGTGTAATAAATCTGTGAATTATCCAAGTACCATTTTATAATTTATAAAAATATGGGATATAGTTCTCTGTCTATGTTATTATGAGGGTTAAATAAACTGTGTTCAGTGATGCTTAGGATATGAAAGAATTCCATTCAATCGGATTTTGTGTTTGATGTAGGCTGTTTCTGAGGATTCCAAGGGTACCTAGATCCCTAATTAGACATGAAGTTTCCATGTTCTTTGGCTCCCTGGGAAGGCATTCTGGCACAGTGAACATGAAGTAGACCCTGTCATTTGACTGTTTATTTTTATTTGTTTCTATTAACTGCAGTTTCCTCTCCTCTCAATGCCCCTCAGCTCCCCCAACCCCCCCCCCAGTTCCCCCCATCTACTCCTCCATTTCTCTTCAGAAAAAGGGTAGGCCTCCCATGGATATCAGCCAGCCATGGCATATCAAGTTTCAGTAACGCTAGGCACCTCCTCTCCTAGGAGGAATGGGTCCCAAAGGAAGGCATCAGAGTCAGAGACA